ATCAAATCCTTCATTTTCTTAAAATCCCCACTTTCCTGCTGTGACTGCTGGCTGTGAGTATCCAGTGACCATTTTATAGGCAACGCCAAAGTAGCACTGGCCAGTCTGGGACATTCATTCAGAGTAAAACTTCCAACATCAACCTTTTTTAATTCGTACATGCACCCACATCTACTGAGGACAAAAGTGAAGCCAAATATTGATGGCTGTCCTGCGAGTCTGGCTGCTCGCAAAGCTCCCACTGCTCTTACATATGTTCAAAGTCACCTGACTTTGTCTCCAGTACAGACACGTTTTGTCGACATATGTGCTAAACTGTGGATTTTGAGATGATTAACAGAACACAAAGTTGTATATATCATCACACACAGTTTCTCTAACCTGTTTTTCATCTTTATGGACAGTGGATAGTCTATCTTGCACAGGCCCAGGGGCTCAAGAGATAAAGGGGGCCTATTTCTTTGGTATGAAGTGACTCAACATTTCCAACTGGAAAGTAAATGGTTTTAAACTTGTAGTGCTTTTCTATGCATTGCAGCACACTCAAAGCACTTTCACACTATTTGGCCATTCGCCCACTCCCAAGCACTGACAAATTCACACACCAGTGTCATTGCCAGGAGCAACTGGGGGTTCAGTGTCTTGCGAAAGACTGGACCAGACAAGCCGGGAATCGAACCACTAATCTTCCAGTTAAGAGATGACCCACTACCTCCTGAGCCACAGCCGCCCCCGTAGTCAATCAACAACAGATGGATGCAAAATAAGACAAATGCAACACTGCCACAAGAACATACAAAACGGCCTCATAAGCCCCTTTCAGACATGCACTCCTTTCCGCTAATGTGATGGCATCGGAATGTGTCAATGGGCACCCTGATTACTGGTACATAAACATTACAACAGCAATGTTGGTCACTCACATTTAGGAATCACTTTCAGCACAGCACACAGTCACATTACCTGATATACAGCACAGCACACAGTCTGAACAGCACACAGTCACATTACCTGATATACACAGATTATAACATATTGATTAGGATGGTGTTACGTACTGCCAACCATCACAGCCCAGGTGTCTGCATGTCACTCTTTGGAAGTTGCTCCGCTCAATAAAAACATGACTGTTTTGGAGAACGCCCTAAACAGCAGTAACATAAAAAACTCTCATTCTCCTGCCACGCTGTAGTAAGAAAACTCTGGCCTCATACATTATATATCACTTGATTTACTGTCCAATCTTGCACATTTGGCAAATACCATGGGTCTTTCTGTCACAGCTGTGGATACATCTTATGAGGAACATTAATGTAAAAGTGACTGAATTACAGAAAACTGTCACTGATAGATTGATGAAGTAGCAATTTTACATAACCCATGTCTGAAATAGGCAAAAACGCAGAAATGACTATATACAAGACACGTAAAACAGACAAAAATAACCACAAAGAGGCGCAAAATGACAAAAAAGAGAAGCAAAAGAAATGTAGTCACAAAACAAGTACAAAGAGATGGTCTCAAAGATCCAAAACAAGAAAACAGAGCCACAACATGACTAAAAAAAGACTCAAAATGCTCTTGAAATCTGTGAGTCTTGTTTCTGTGTAGGAGGGTGGGGGCCTTCTTCATGTCTGTGCCCAGGGGTCCGGTGTCTCATGATCCTCCTTGCCATCATAACATTTTTAAATCATCTCTCACACATTCCCTCAACAGGTGCTAAATATCACACAGGGATTGTGGCTCTTTCTCTAAATGTCCTACCGTGTGTAAATAAAGCCATAAGGTAAAAGCCCTGAATTTAACGAGCCTGATGAATGCAACGTTATGCATTGCATGTCTGAACTTTGAAAATCATTGCACCACGTGTAGAGAAAAACATTTCAACAAACTCTTTAAAGGATGTGCAAAAATATCAGTACCAAGATGTGGACAAACACTGGACAAACACTGGACAAACACTGGACAAACACTGGACAAACACT